ATTTATATGGCATTGATAGAATTTAAAGTGTCAAATAATTGTTAATTATTGTAATAGATAATATGGAGTATTTAAGTCATATAGTATATAATTATATAATATGTAGTATTTAAGTTATATTATAATAGTATATTATATGTTATTATTTATAGTGTTATATTATGGAATTTGAGAAGTTATTGAAATTTTTATATGATTTTAAAAATATTTTAAATTGTTAGCTATTGTGATTTGTAGTACTTTTTTTTTTACATAATTTTGAAAATAATATTTATTACTCTATTTGTTCTAATTTATGTGGCACATGCAGAATTTCAAATATTAACCATTTTTTATATTTCTCTTTAATATATTAAGTTGTTAATTATTGTATTTTATAGTACATTTTGAACCTAATTTTTTAATAATATCTGTTATTTGCCATGTCCCATTTTATGTGGCATTAATTGATAGATTTGTTGGAGTCGAGAGATTTATTTTGTTAATTATTGTAATTTATAGTTTCTTTTTCGTCAATTTCAAACAATATATGTTGTTAATTGATAGAATACTTTTAATGTAATTTTTTTTAAAAATATGTGTGACTGTCCATGTCCCAATTTATGTGGCACATGTAAAGTTTTGACAATTAACCAAAATTTTAATACATTTTAAAAAATATTTGTAAGTCGTTAAATTTTAAGTAATTTAAATTGTTGTATTATTTATTACAATTTATAATGGTTTTAAAGTAGTTTAAATATTGTACTATTTATATGATTTATAACACTTTTTTTATATGATTTTAAAAATATTTTAAATTGTTAGCTATTGTGATTTGTAGTACTTTTTTTTAACATAATTTTGAAAGTAATATTTATTACTCTATTTGTTCTAATTTATGTGGCAGATGCAGAATTTCAAATATTAACCCTTTTTTATGTCTCTTTAATATATTAAGTTGTTAATTATTGTATTTTTTAGTACATTTTGAACCTAATTTTTTAATACTATATGTTATTTGCCATGTCCCAATTTATGTGGCATTAATTGATAGATTTGTTTTGTTAATTATTGTAATTTATAGTTTCTTTTTCGTCAATTTCAAACAATATATGTTGTTAATTGATAGATTTTTTGGAGTGGACTATTTTTTTTTATTAATTATTGTAATTTATTGTTTCTTTTTCGTCAATTTTCAAACAATATATGTTTATTAAATAATCTATTTTATGTGGTACCAATAGAATTTAGAGAGTCAGTTAAATTTTTATATAAGTTTTAAATAATTAAGTTGTTAATTATTGTAATGTATAGTATTACTTATATTATTTTTAAATATATTTAAATATTATATGTTAGGTTTTTTATCCTAATTTATATGGCATTGATAGAATTTAAAGTGTCAAATAATTGTTAATTATTGTAATAGATAATATGGAGTATTTAAGTCATTTATAGTATAGTAATTAATATAGAATATGTAGTATTTAAGTGTTATATTATGGAATTTGAGAAGTTATTGAAATTTTTATATGATTTTAAAAATATTTTAAATTCATAACTATATATTTCAATGTACAAGATTTTGATAAAATAAAATCTTTATAGTTAAATTATAATGTTTTTGAAATTTAAATTATTAAAACATATATAATGATTTTATAGAAAAAATAATATCATATAAAATTAAATGAAAAGGATAATAAATTCAACTTTTACCATGATAAGGTTGAAAAAATATTATTTAAGTGGAAGGAGGTGGGGCCCACTTATATATTTTATATAGTAAGTATTGGACATTTGTAATGATTTTATTGGTACAATGGTAGTAATCCTAGACTCTTCTAATATATAGTAATAATAATATATAAAAATCTTAGACTCTTCTAATATATAAAAATATATAATAGTAATATATATATAGTAATTACTTATATTATATTTAAATATTATATGTTAGGTTTTTTATCCTAATTTATATGGCATTGATAGAATTTAAAGTGTCAAATAATTGTTAATTATTGTAATAGATAATATGGAGTATTTAAGTCATTTATAGTATAGTAATTAATATAGAATATGTAGTATTTAAGTGTTATATTATGGAATTTGAGAAGTTATTGAAATTTTTATATGATTTTAAAAATATTTTAAATTCATAACTATATATTTCAATGTACAAGATTTTGATAAAATAAAATCTTTAAAGTTAAATTATAATGTTTTTGAAATTTAAATTATTAAAACATATATAATGATTTTATAGAAAAAAATAATATCATATAAAATTAAATGAAAAGGATAATAAATTCAACTTTTACCATGATAAGGTTCAAAAATATTATTTAAGTGGAAGGAGGTGGGGCCCACTTATATATTTTATATAGTAAGTATTGGACATTTGTAATGATTTAATTGGAACAATGGTAGTAAATCCTAGACTCTTCTAATATATAGTAATATGATGAAAGTATATTTTAAAAATTTGTATAATTTAACTCCTAAAAAATAAAATCTGGCAAGTTAGGGCATAATAATAAACTTATTCACACACGTTAGAGGAAAAAAAGAGATAGAGAGACTTTTTTTTTACGTCTACTTTTGTAGTAGACCTTAAATTTAATATAATTGGGTCATTTACAAAAATGATCTTATACCAAATTTTATTTTTATTTTACCAAATTAAGAGAAATTTATTTATTTTTCTTAATATTGACTTTATGATTAAGTAACTATATTAAATACTAATAGTCAAATTTAACTTTCAATGCATATTTAATAAAATTAATATATGATAAATAAATTTCTTATGAGTTATGTCGAGTCAATATGGATCAAGTAAAACGAAATTCGAAGATATATTTATTAAGTCGGGTTCATAACTATATATTTCAATGTACAAGATTTTGATAAAATAAAATCTTTAAAGTTAAATTATAATGTTTTTGAAATTTAAATTATTAAAACATATATAATGATTTTATAGAAACAATAATATCATATAAAATTAAATGAAAAGGATAATAAATTCAAATTTTACCATGATAAGGTTGAAAATATTATTTAAGTGAAAGGAGGTGGGGCCCACTTATATATTTTATATAGTAAGTATTGGACATTTGTAATGATTTAATTGGAACAATGATAGTAATCCTAGACTCTTCTAATATATAGTAATATAAATTGGCAACTAGACAATTAATTAATCTAAATATACGTTTAGTGGCAATTAATTTTTTTTAAAAATATCTTTAAAACCTATAGTTAAATTGAATCAATAACAATTTAATTAATACTGACTCTTAAGAAAATATTTATCACGCTAAAAACTGTTTATGTTATGGTGCTGTCATTTGATTGCTAGTAAATTTGATGATGTTTCGAAATTGGATTGCAGAAATTTGTTTTCCGCAAGAGTTGATGGGGGCAATTTAGCCCAAGCTCTCAAAATCCTTTACTTTACAATATTGTCAAAGACTTTACATGTACAGAAAGATGAAACTAATTAAATCTAACTGCTGTGAGGATTCGATCAATTAGGTCCCCAACAGCTCAAATACATGACTTTTCTCAGAGATTCCTCAGACTTCTTCACCTTTTTCAATTCTAATTTGTTAGCAGAAACCAAAGAAGAAGAAGAAGAAGATTGAGATGAAAGCTTCTTGGCGTGTGAATATGAGCGTAGATTGTTCTTAGCGTGCTGATTTATGGCTCTGATTGTGTAATTCCACCTACAAACTCCTTGATCTTTTAGTGCCTCTACTACTCCCAAACTCACTGCTGTGACCCATGCTCTGCTCGTTGAACTCATTTTCTAATCTTTGATTCTTCAAAACTCTTGGATATTTTATATTTGTGAGAAATGTTTAATTTTTTGCTGAAATACTTGAATAACTTGTTGGTTTTTGAATTATCTCTCTCTCTCTGTATGGCTATATATATATAGTGCCTTTGTTGGAAGGAAAAAAAAGCTAGAGGCTTTTGGTTGTGTTTCCTGTGGTTTTGGAGCATGGTTTCTGGGATGGAAAGTACATTTCTGCCCTTGGGTTAATCTCTTAATGATCAGTATTGAGGAGGGTGTAATTGGTATTTTCATGATCACAATTATGGGGTAGGTGGGTAAAAGAGCACACCGAATATGTAGCTTTGTTGTTTGGAATAGCTGCTAGATTGGAGACACGTAGAGTGACATGTGCTGATGTGTCTAATGCTAATAATAATAATAAGCAGATGAAAATTGGCACATGGTTTGGCTTAGATTAAATAAAATCCAGTTGCGTCCAAACCATGGGAAAAGTTCTTGAAAATGAAACCACCGAAATGTTTGGAGTTACGTTAACTGCAAAAAAATCTTACCACTGGCAAGTACTGTCGTTGTTTCTAATACAGTAACTTATTATACTCCATATAAAGCAAATAATAAAAAGGAAGATAATGTTTGACTATGGTTAAATGATTGGTTTTAGCAAATAATCTGAATCAAATCATCTATTAATTTGAGGGACACATGTAGTAAATAAAAGGGAAAACTATTAAAAATAATAGAATTTTTGATAAAGGGCGGCTTCTCCTATGTCGTGTCAAATTCGCATAAAAAAAAAGAGATTTGTCCTCTCCTATAAAGAAATAAAAAAAAATCTCACGATTCCCTCAATACAGCTTCACTCCGTCAAGCCTGTACGAGTAGTGAAGAAGTATAGATTTAGTTGGTTGTTGACCGACGGAAAGCATGGGATCAAAAAAGGCAAGTATATTCTGAACTATCGTAAATGATATGCAGATATCTTCCGTCATATTATTGGGATATTGATGCCCTGTCGTCTTAAAACTAGAGCATATATGCCCTTCACTCTAACAGAAGACTAAATAGGGACATGTGGTGCAATCTTATCCGTCGATTCGATATTTAATCGGCGGATAAAATTATGACACGTGTATGTCCATTAGTATAAAAGGTATATATGCTTTAATTTTTGGACGGCAGAGGCACCAATGTCCCAAAAATATGACGAAGGATTTCTACATACCATTTACAGTTCGAAAATATATTTGTCCTTTCCCCCTCAATAAAATTAACACCCTATTGGAGAAACTAGACAGATGGACTATTGGAGGGGGAGCCAAATCCGAGTTAGTGACTTATATCGGTTGTGTTACATTTTAAAATCTAATAAATTTCTTAATACTACTTCGAAAATTTATAGTCAGACGGGCAAAATGCTTGTTTATATGATTGTTTTTCAGAATACCGATCGATGCGTGCAACTTGTGTTCACACAATTTATACTTTAGATCTTTTAAGATGTGTTCATCCTTTTCATTTTGAAATTTTACTTCTTTAAGTAGTGTTATTATTATAATCAAATTAAGTCATTATTACAATTTGTTCACTCAATTTTACACACACTTGACACTTGCATCTTTTCAGATCTTCTTCTTCTTCTTTGTTGGTTTGAAATCAAGACCACCAAATACAAAATAATCAAGTTGAAGAATTATTTGCAAGTATGTCAAAATGATCATACAAATACTAATCGATCTGTCATATCATCATTTCATCAAAATATCAACAGTACTTAAATTCTATTAATTAGTATATATTTACAATCATAGTCATACATAAATTTTTTTAATCGCTTTGTTCTTTCTCTTCTCTAGGAAATCTTCATGTCTGCAAAAATGACATGGAAGTTTCTCTATAATAAAGATTAGTTAATTTGGACCCCAACAGCTCAAGTACATAACTTTCCTCAAAGACTCTTCAGCTTGCTCTGCCTTTTCACTCTTTGCAATAAGTGAAGAAGAAAGTTTCTTAGCTTGAGAGTAAGATCTCATGTTATTCTTTGTGTGTTGTGCCAAACACCTCAATGGGTAATCCCATCTACACAATCCAACTTGATCTTTTAAAGCCTCCACTGCTATTTTGATGATTTTGAAAATGATGTTTGGGAGTTGGTTAAGGCTGAATTTATAGTGTACCTAAAGAGTTATAAACAAGTGGCTCTTTTTCGCTAACTGTGTGCTCTTTGTATTGCAGGCAGCTAGTGGTTTTATTGTACGTCTTTTTAATTATTTAAATTCATTTGTTTTTTGAGTTATTTTGTCTGTGAAGAAAAGGGGAATATTTAGTTACTGATTCATACGTTACTTTTCAAATGCAGACAAGATGTTGGTACTTGGACCCTAGCAGCTGGTTTTTTATTGGACTTTAGGAAGTAGCCCTTAGTAAGTTTAGGAAGTTCTAACCTGAATGATTCAATTAAGAACTGAACCTAATTACTTGTTCTCTTTTTCTTTTTTAGTTATTACTAATTACTTGTCCATTTTGATAAATTAAGAAAAAAATAAAATATATCTATTATATTCTCAATTTATTACTTTGAAAAATATAGAACTTGTTGAAGAAAAATATAGAACTTGTTGAAGATCTTAAGTTTTTAATTCATTCACTTCATAATTAATAAGGGTAAAATGATAAACTCACTATATCAATTATTGTTTTCTTAATAGGTGTGTCAATTCAAAAGTGGACAAATAATTAGAGACAGAAGGAGTATTTGGTAATGATAATATTTAGTTTTAGAATTATTTGATATTCCTTCTGCTTCTAATTATTTTACCCATATTAATTATAAAGTAGATGAATTAAAAATTTAAGATTTTCAAGAAGCTCTACCTTTTTCAAAGCAATTAATTGAGGGTATAATAGATAAAAATTTTTATCCTTTTTTGATTTGTTAAAATAGATAAGTAAAAAAGAAAAATTGGACAATTAATTAGAGACAGAGAAAGTATTACTATTTAATATAAATGATGAATATTTTTTATTTTTTTAAAAAAAATTAACAAAAGAATTTTATTCATCTTCCAAAAACAATACAATTATAGTTGTTTGAGGTGGGATGATCTATACCTATTACAACTAGGAGTGAGTATGATATGATACGGTATTTAACATATCAGAGTAATGGTACATAAACTATAAAATAGGAGAGGAAAATTACTTCATTGATTATTATGGAAAATTTCATGTTACAGGTAGATATTTGTGAAGTATATATACTACACTGATCACCTCTTATTTATTCTCCTTGATCTTTTAACTAATATAGCCAGCTCTTAAGATCCTGGCTAACTATCTTCCTAATTGATTTCTGTAAGTGGTGTAGTTTAGTTAGTTCCTGAACCCCCTAAACAGTTTTTTCCTGAATGGAGTTATGGATTCAAAATAATTGAACTCCAATACATGTATCAGATATCGAAAGAAAAACAAATCGACATGTAAACAAGAAAAAGACAATCTAGAAAAAAGGTGACCTCTACCATACCGCACCCAACCCATTTTCTCCTAAATCCATTTCTCTTTTGTCTTGTTGCCTATCCGGCCATCCCATTATTTTCTTGAGTCCAGAGCAAAAAGAGTTACTTTCTTCGTTTTAAAAAGAGTGACCTGATTTGATTTGGCATGAAATTTTAGAAAATAAAGAAAACTTTTGAATCTTGTGATCCTAAATTAAAGTTATTCAAATGTACTAAATTGCCTTTTAATCTTGTGGCTTTAAGCATGCCACGTGAAAAGCTGAAGTCAAAATGCTACCAAAAAATAAATATGTCATTCTTTTTTAAACTTACTAAAAAGGAAAGGATGTCATTCTTTTTTAAATGGATGGAGTATTTTTTTTTTCTTCAGAATGTATAAATGGTCACTCAATTTTTATTTTAACCAAAAGGGACAATTCGTTTGTTAGAGGGCGAGATATATTGTAATTTTAATAGTGGTTAACGGCGTAAAAAAAAAACTTTTTTCTCGCTGCCCAGCCAGTTAGTTTCTCATTTTAATTTTTTTTTTTGTCCTGATACATCGCTGCATTCGCAGCGAGAATTTCAGTACTTGGAGAACTTCAAAAATGGCTATAAAAGCTGAAAGATGATTTCTATCTAGGATGTGTGTTTGGCACGGAGGAGAAAAATGTTTTCTCAATTTCTATTTAATTGTTCAAAATAACTTTTTTAAAGAAAAACATGATTTTTTTTTTTAAATGAGGAAAATAATTTTTCGAATGAAAATAGAGAAAAATTAGTTTCTTAAAAATAAATAAATGACTTTGCAGTAAAAGTAAAAATAAAATAACACGCTCATTAAGATATATACGACCTTGAATATTCTTTCTTTTTAACTTCTTGAATCAAATATATATATATAGCCACTAAAAAATAGCTTAATTACTCTTCATAGCTATAGTTTGATAATTACAATTCATAGCTACATGTTATAAGGAGGAAAGAGGCGAGCGAGACTGGAGAGAGAGGGCAAAGAGTGGGATATAGGTGAATTGTATATGTATATCGGTTAGATAATTGTATATTATGCATATGTGTTTGTATATATGGCAAGCGAGATTGGGAGAGGGAGGAGAGGCGAGCAAGATTGGGAGAGGGAGGAGAGAGGTGAGCGAGATTGGGAGAGGGAGGAGAGAGGCGAGCCAGAGAGGGTAGAGAGTGGGAGAGGGGTGAATTGTATATGTAAATCGGTTAGATAATTGTATATTATACATATGCATTTGTATATATGGCAAGCGAGATTGGGAGAGGGAGGAGAGAGGCGACCGAGAGAGGGAAGAGAGTGGGAGAGAGGTGAATTGTATATGTATATCGGTTAGATAATCGTATATTAAACATATGTATTTGTATATTCTAGCGAATTATACATATACAAACGTGGCTAATTATACAAACTCGAAGTCAGCCCACGTAATTAATGTATAATGTTAGTCGCGAATGATAATTATAGCAAATTATAGCTATGATAAGTAATTAAGTAGTATAAGTTTGCTTAACTGCGTAATTTTCCCTAAAAAAAATCGTTTACATAATGAACATTATAATTAAACTCAAGATTTCTGTCTATATAATCTGATAGTTGAATTTTGTGACCACACATTTCTTCTTATTACTTACTTAACTATATATATTATGTTTCAATGAGGTGGGGCTAGTGGAGAACGACAATTCATGAAGGATGTGGTGGTGAAGAATTGAAAGATATATACATGGCAGAAAATAGTTCCAATTAAACATGAATAACTAAGCAAAGTATAGTTTGGTATGGTGTATCTGACAAGTGAGAATAGTCATGCTATTAGTTGGTCCACATATTTATCAATCAAAATGTGTGTTGGGACACAGAGTCACCAAGCTGTTTATTAAAAAAAAAAAAAAAAAAAAAAAAATATTTCGTTATTTTACCAGCGAATTAGTCCTTTTGATTTTAATTTTTTTTTTTGAGTGACCATATATGTATTTTGAAAAAAAAAATGATCCTTTTGGATCCGGACACTTATTTTCTTCCCAATACATGTCCTCCTTCATTCAATATTGATTCGATGAACTCAGATTTTCAGTTTATAAGTTCCTAATACAAAAATATGATATAAGACGTAAATTCATGGACTAGATTTGCCTTACTATGACTAGGATCAACAAATCACCTAGAAATTATGAAAGGTTCACAAAAATGTATTTTTTAAGGGTAATTTTGAAATATATAAAAATATTCACTTGTTTTTGAAATTTGATGTTTAGTTATACTATATCACATAAACTGAGATAAAGAGAGTACTAAGAATAAAATGAGAAAAAACTAATTAATTTTATCATAAATTTCTAAAATGAGAAATAACTTGAAATAACTATTTTTAGAAATCATAATAAACAATTTGAGGTAGAAGAGATGAATGCTAATGCTAAAATTAATTAAAAACATGAAAATATAAAAGTATTGAACAAGCTTAAGGAATCTTTTTTTTTTTTTTAAAATAACTGTGGCATTGTGAGCCATTTTAATATAAAAAAATCAGAAACAAAAGTCTAGAACTAAAAGGTGCAAAAAACAAACTAAAGACAACAAGCTTAAGGAATCGCTCATGCTTTTGGCCAAAGTATTTTTAGGCAAACTGAATCTCCTTTTAATTAATTGTATTCTTGAAATTAACCCTACATAACAATTCCAATTTACAAAATGCCATAGGCGACAATATATAATTAATAATGTTCTAGACTATCCCGTTAATATATTACTTTCTCCGTTTTAAAAAAAATGTTTTTGTTTAACTTAACGCGAAATTTAAGAAAATAAAGATGACTCTTCAATTTTGTGATTTTAAATTAAAGTTATGTCAAATATATCAAAATATATTTTAATCTTATAATCTTAAATATATCACGTAAAAGTTGAAATTAAAATATTGCTAAAAAATGAAAAAGATGAAATATTACATAAAGTCATGATTAGGCAGGTATTCTTGGAGAAAAATGGTTAAATAAATCTGGGGACCAAAGCCAATGGTTTCTCTATAATATAATAAAGGGTTTAAACAAAAACGAAGTAAAAGCTCACACGTGTTAAATCCCTCCATGATTCTATTTAAAGCCAGCAAAACCATGTGCATTTTCATTATGTTTTAGCAACAAAATCAAGCGTAACAACTCACAAAGCAAAAGCAAATCAATTTTCAAATCTCTAATCTTCCACTTTTTTTAGAATAGTAGTTATTTTTCTCCACTTAAAAGAGTTTATTAGAGAAACTAAATTAGACTATTAATTCAACTACAAGGAAAAAAATGATGGTGGCGGGAATCAAGTCTTCTCCGGCGAGTTCCTCATCGGAATCCGGCAGCCAAAGGTGGCCGAGATGGTTTTCCGGCACCGGAGATTCAGGGAAGAAAGCATTCATGGATGATCAGAAGCGCAGGATTAGGGATGCTGAAAAGGCTGAGAAAATTATGCACCTTATCTTGTGGGGACCCAAATAGTCCATTCTGTTTGCCTAATATTAGTACTAATTTTATAAATTTCTTGGTTTTAATTAGCTTTAAGTGGAAGTTTTAATGTGAATCAGTCAAATCTGTGGGAGAGATGTACTATGTATATAGAGATCTAGCAGTTTATTGTACTATTACAATGGCTAGTTTTAAGAAATTAAAAGTTAGTATTCTAATGTATTTACTTCTCTTTTTTTTTCAATACTATGCAATAATTACTATGACTCCATATCTACAAAACACTGTTCTCAAATGATTATTAGAACCCTTGAGAAACTTTTAGAAAATACAGATATCTTAGCTTAAGAAACTATAAATTAGAACTTTTACTTTATGACTTTTTGGCTTATATTTCATTTTGTTCTAGTTTACATGTTTTATTTTTCTTTTTAGTCAATTTAAAAAAGAATAATACATTTCTATATTAAATAATAATTTAATTTTAAAATACTCATTTTATCCTTAATGAAATGATTTATAGTCATACAAATATCTATAATTTATTTTAGACCATAAATTTAAAAGGTTATTTTTACTTCAATTTCCATGTCAGATCAAACTAACTCATATAAAATAGAACAAATGAGGTAAGTCATAAATTAAAAGTCAATCTAAACACGCTCTAAGTCTTGTAGCCTAGTGATTTATCAATTCATAGTAGTAATGGTTCTACGAATTGTGATGTGTGAACTACTCAATGTATTTTGAATTATAAATTATAATCCAATTTAGAGTTTCAAAATATCATTAATAAAGTTAATTTACTAAAACATGTCTCTAATAAATGAATTAAGAATTGTGTTAAATTAGTATAACTAAGTAAAATGAAATGAAGGGAGTAAAAATTTTGCATCTTATAAATAACCTTCGAAGCAGTTTACTCTTTTGCTTTATAACGTCAAGGCACCCTATAGCTCGAAAGTTGATCATAGCGATTTCCACAACTTAGTTGTAGTTTGGAATTTAAAAGAAATAAAATAAAAAAGTTAGGTTTTGGGATAATATAGTTGAATTAGGAATTAATTAATAGTCACGTCATGTTGGCATTTTTCCACATGCATTATTTTGACAAATGTTTTGGAAAAGGTGTAGTAGTAGCATATATGCTTGTGGAAATTAATCTTTTTACTAAAGTTGTATGGTTCAATTATTATTAAAAAATTTATATTCTCATGGTCTGAAAATATAGTCCCATATGGGCCATGGACTGAAAAACTGGAGTATGATCACAGTTGCCTCAATCAGCAATGTGACGAAAGTTTTGATTCTGGGCCTGATGTATGAGCGGCACTGGTGCTTGGTGGCGCAACGCGATATCCCAAATTATAATTTCAATGTACAGTTAGAGTTGAATGTGATTTGATTTTGTATTTTGTTATCAATATGAAATATATTTCGTATAATCCATAAGTGAGATCTGAAAAACAATAGAATGTTTACAAATTTTATATGTACGTTTTGAACAATATGAATAGATGAAAAAACAGACAAGTGAGGCTTCAAGTAGAGTTTGCCAAAAGGACTCAGAGCCACTCAAACAAGTTCATTTTATATTTTCCTTAAACCAATGCAT